ACGGGCAATAATGAGCTCAGCAACATTCACTCCAGCAGTTGCTGCAGCTGCTTCAGCAGTATCACCCTTGGTGGGAGATGGAATGAACACAGAGCCAAAATCCATAACCCTGTCACCAGCTCCAGAAGTAGTAACACCATCTGCTGGGCTGATCTTCCTAGAGTATTCCATTTGAACCATAACCTGCAGCAGGAAAAAAGGAAGTCAGGGATCTTGCTACTGTGTAGCATAACAGTAAGTAAGAAAGCACAAGGTTAGTAAATACCTGCTTTCCGATAAGCCTTTGTCTCAGAAACTCCCTGGCTTCCCGAGCATAAGGGGCAGGTTTCTCCTCTCTGCGTGGGTTACCCATTTTAGGAGACCTAATACTAGAAAGACAGACTCGGCGCTCTGCAATTGGGCTCCCGAATGGGACAGAATCATCAGCAACTACTAGGCAGTCTCCACTCACAACCTCCACTACCTGGAGAGAGTACAAACTAGTAAGTACTAAGAACTGGTGAAATATTCAGAAGGCAATGTTTATACCAAGAAATTTGTGCAAACAATTATTACCTTTCCGGTAAAGTTCTGGTCATGAATGGCCTTAGAGTTGCTAGCTGGAGGGACATAGTTTGCCCACATTTTAACTTTGTTTTTCTTGCATTGAAGTTCTGCAGCTTTCAGCTTCTTTTTCGCTTCTTCCTCCATCATGTTGGCACTCCACTCAACATACTTAGCAAGACCCTGAGAAAAAGGAATAGCAACCGGTGTCATGAATTTTAGTCAAGACTATCGAAAATATCATATATTCCAGCAAAGTAACTGTTTAATTTAGACACGTACATTTTCAACCAGCTCCAAGCCCAAGTCTTTTACTATTTCGCCATCAGAATAGTATACCGACCCAATCAGATTGTTGAATTTGTCAACACCTTCAAGAACAATGCGAACCTGCACAATCCAGTGTACACTTAGATCATCTAGATCTCCAACACAGATGCTTGTGAGTTGATTTGTTGTAAAACGTCCTTACATCTCTGTTAAGAACACGAAGCTCAGTAAAATACTTGGCTTCCCTTGCAAAAGGATCAGAGGAAACCTCGACAGACGATGCTGAGGATGCAGCGAGTCTCTGGGCTGAAGTTAGAGGACCACGCGGCTCAGCAGAACCATCTCCATTCGGAGCTGATGTAACATCTGGCTCAACAACAGGTTCTTGTGTAGGTCTCCTTCCCATCGATGGAGCCTACAAAGAAAATTTCCGGCACTCTTACACCATGAAAGTAAAATGCCAACTCCTCTCAGCAAAAACACGGAGACACGATTACATACCTGGAGTCCAGCCACAAAAACTTGCACAAACTGAAATTCAGGAAGAAGATAAACACGGATGGTACTGCCATCACGGACTTGCTCAACGATACCTTCCATGGGCTTGCCTTTACTTGCGGCTAAAAGACCCATGGCATCAAAATTCCCAGAATCCCCAACGGCAGAAGGAGGAATTTTCCTGACAGCTGCCTCACTAGCACCAGGAACCTGGACCAAGTAAATTCCATCAACAAATCACGAAAGAGTACAGAAGTCAAACTCTCCAATAATACTTCCTTTGCGACTAGCCAAATTCAGTGAAAACAGAAAAAGACACCAACCTTGCTCCAACAACCAAACCCTTCCTGGCTGGCTTGTTCTTCAAGCTGTAACAGCTCCGCGATGTAAGGACTAACCTTATCCTTGTTCTGCTGACCTGGCGCTCTAACCTATCCATCAATACAGGCAAGCATTCATCCACCATATCAGAAAGCTGGTACGAGCATCATATCTTAGAAAAGGCTATCAAGTAAAATAAAACGGTTATCACCTTTGCCCAGCCATTTTGAACAACAAGCTTAGCAAGATTTTCGTTGCCAAGGTAAACTGAGCCAAATTCTCTTCCAGCAATAGCTTCCACTTTGTAATCAACTTTGAATGTAACCTCCTGCTCAAGAAAAAACAATACAAACTGTTAATAAGAAGAAATAGTCTTAATTACATAACCTATGGCATAAGTAATTAAATGTTTCAACTTTGCACCTTTCCAATGCAAAGCTTCCTTAGATATTCCCTGGCTTCCCATGCAAAAGCCTCATCAAAACCTCCCCTGCGAGCCTGAAACAAGAGCAAACAAGACAATGAGAAAGCCTATTCCAACAAAAGATCATGTAAGCAAACGTTTTAAGCAGAAAGTACTTATGATTGTTTTATAAAGGATTATATTTTCAAATATTATTGAAATAACCATATATCTGAAAAAAAAATACTAATTTCTCAAATTTGAAGATATTTGTTGGTGAAAAAGTGGGGTGCATTTCCATTGGAAAAAGGAATGAATTTTATTTAATTGGGCTCACCAATTTAGGAGCCATAAGAGAAGATAGAGTGATGGTCTTTTCTGGTGGTGGGCCAGCCCTGTTGTGGGTCAAAGCCGTGATCACCAAGCAGTCTCCGGAGGTAACAGCCTTCACTCTCCCTTTGAGCCACTGGTTCTCAGTTGCTGCCGCGGACGCCATCTTCGTTGGCTAAGCCTAAGACCTGCACCCAGAAACAACGGCAAAACAAAACAAATAAAAAACTCGGAAGTGAGGTACAAATTTCAAAAAATAAAAAATTGTTCTTTTCAACACGATGCATTGATTGTTATTTGATCCATACTTCAATTGAGCTGGAGTCAATCGAAAAACACGATCAAAATTCGTAATTCTCTCACAGATCGGTATGTCAAATTGTCAATTACAATTGAATTATACTAAAAAACTGAATCACAAGAAAAATCCTAACATGCATCCATTAAAAAGTAGCATCACTCATCCAAAACGAATCGCGAAGCTCTACATTCGTCTCGATCTACAACATAGAGTTCGATCGAGCTAATCGATCAGAAAACAACAAAAACAAAAAACGATTTCACACTCATCGAAAACAACGAATTAAAACGCGCGATCGCAATACGCCAACAATAAGTAGATCAGGCATGAATCGAATACATCCAATTCAATTCAACAAAGAGACAGATCTGCGATGATTACGATGAACGTACCTGGATTAATCCGTGATGGGAGAAAACTAGATCTGGAGAAGAAGGAAAAAGGTGACGAAAATCTATCTTAATTATCTATGATTCAATCTGAGATTGAACAAAGAGCTGAAGAGGATGAGAAGTTCTGAGATTGAAGAGAGAGACTTCAGAACGGATCTCAAGATAGAGAGAGCTCAGAGAAGAAGATTGTGGAGAGGAGGTGGAAAGAAGAAATATAAACGAGGACATCATGAGAGAAAAAGCGGATATTACGGTATTTACCCCCATATTTTCGAATATATTACGACTTAATGCCATTTAATACTTTAGATTTTGGGTCTTGCGCAAAATAGTTTGTTCTGAGGAATTTAATAAAAAATTCTTTATTTCTCTTGTTTCGCTCACAGTGTTCTCTACTTTCTTCGTATGGTATAGTTTTGTTCATTGTGATAATTTATTTATTTTGGAAAAAAATAAAACCTTTTTTTGTTGCGTAAAGCAACATGCCAACACTATGATACAAAAGTCAAAATGTGGATTATAAATCAAATTCACGTTCGTTTTCTGACTTTTTGCAAGAAAAATAGAGTGGTATGTACTTTTAATGTGAAAATTTTAATAGTGTAAATATATTTTATATGTATGAATGAACTATTAGGAGTGATATAATAACCGATGATATAATATTTATTCAAACCATACACATACTTGACATATGAATTCTTTGAAGGATGAGTGGAATAATTTGCAATTGAAAAGGAAAAGAACAGAAAATTCTGCATTAATATGTCATAAATCCATGATAAATGACATATTAAACTCTGCATTTAATATGTCATAACCTATGCAAAGAGAAACACGTTTTTAGTGTGATTTCATTGCTAGTGTGGTTTTGTTTCTCTAATCTAAATTGTGTCTTTTCTTAGGTGTAGGATTCAAATCTCAGTATTTTTTTATCAACTCTTTAACTTACTTGAGATTTCTTAATTATGGTTCTATTGTATTTCTCTCGAAAAGTGCAAAACATTCAATGATCTTATTATTCTTCTAAAAATATAAAAATTTGATCGGTTCATTTGGATGTGTATATAGTTTGTCGTTTTCTTCGCTCTTTGTTTTTATGGTTTTATTGTATTTCTCTCCAAAAGTGCAAAAAATCTAATAATTTTATTATTTTTCTAAAAGCATAAAAGTTTGATCGGTTCGTTTGGATGTGTATCTAGTTTATCGTTTTCTTCGCTTTTGGATGTGTATCTAATTTATTGTTTTCTTTGCTCTTCGTTCACTATTATAATTAAGTATTTCTTATCATTTTCCGATCTTTGAGTTTTCTAGTCATTTCTATAACTTATGTCAAAAAATTAAAATTTGTTTGAACATTTTACCAAAAAAAAGTTTGATTGGTTTCACCCACTTTCATTATATTACTGTCTTTCTCTTTCAATCGGTTATTTAATTTAAATTCCTCTATTCGATCATTTTTCTGTTAATTATTCTTGCTACTATATTTCTAAAGGTGTGACATGGGCTTTTCTAAACAGTCATAAACTAAAGGGGTGTGTTTCCGAAACTAAGTAAAACACGGGGGATAATCCGATATTTCTCGGGTATAGAATTTATGATACGTATGAATCGAAACGGAAAGCCGTTAGATTCCTCAATAGAGACACACCTCAGTTGACGATGAAAGAAAGATATTTTGTACTTTCGTCTTTTGTGTACTTCATTGTCTGCTGCATACACATTATAAATACTAAAATATCTCAATATCGAAAATCTAATACACCTTAAAATAGTTTTTTTTTTTTTTTCATAGGATTTTTGGTGAACGACAAGTTGATAAATAAGGACGGTAAATAATTGTGCTCACATTTTAATCAGAAAATAGCATCATTACTTAAAAGATCCAAAGAACAAAACTTTGATGTGAAGATACACACAGAGTTACACAGTAAATTCCTTTTCAATCTTCATGATCTTCATCCATTCCATCTTCGCTACCTTCTTCTTCACTACCTCCTTCTTCTTCGCCATCACCATCTTCTTCATCTTCTTCATCTTCATCTTGCTTCTTATCCCCTTTCTTTCCATCCACGTTTTCTGAAACAAACCGATATAAACCTGAAATCAGATGATTCGTCCTGCGATGGAATAAGATTAAAACAACAATGTGGAGGAACATTTACCGTATTCACTGAAAATGATTCCTCCTGAACACAACCCTTCCTCCACTTTAACGAGCTGCATAGTCATTCTCGGTCCAATTTCTTGCAGCTTCACTGCGCTCTTTGTGGAGCTCTTGTTAACTCGGCCCAGATCAGACGATAGTGTCACTGTTGCCGCTTCTTCATCTCCTTCACTCTCTGATCCATAACCAGCCCTGAACAAAACCGACAATCCACAAATGATAAATGTCACACTGACATAGAGAGGCATAAACAAAAACACATCGTACCAAATATGGAGCCCTTACTTGGTGACAAAGTCACTAACATCCTGCAGATTCCTAAGATCCGGGACCTGATGGTTCTGCACAAACTTTCTGATCCTACGAGACACTCCTACAGGCTGAAGTCTAATAGAATAGTGACGGAAATCAATCATTTTTGTGTCTTTGTTGTAGTTCAAGAGTACTAGTCTCTGGCATGTAGAGAGCTTGACCTAACACATTATCAGAAGAACAAATCAAATCGCTGAAACAAGTTACAATCATATTCTGTTCTTGCCAACAAAACTCACAGTGTTGATATCAATAGATGGGAATATGTTCTGGAACATGATCGTCGCCAGCTTCAGATGCAGCTCCTGAGAACCGAATCCAGAGAGGACAATCTAAAAACCAAGAGAAGATTAACACTGTCAATCAAAATTACAAAAACCATATATAAAGTAAGAGAGAGAGATTAAGATTGATTACCAAAGGAGGACTCTTGAAAAGATCTTGAGGACATCTAGGACGAAGCTGAGACTGAGCTATATCCGACGCTAACGAATACTGATGGATTTTAAACGTGAGAGTCGGTCCCTGAGGAGTTCTTGCTACTCTTAGAGACAGCGCAGACGCTGTTTTCGATAGCATAAGGAAATGAGTAACACCCATTGGACCTGATACATTCAAAAAGTCCCTTAAAGTGTTTCTCTTCTTCTCCTGCAATGAACAAGGAAGAAGAAGAAGACGATGAATACATTGAACTGATCAGATAAAATTATCACAAAAGAGGCTCTTTTCTCCTTTTTAACTGACCTTTAGACTGAGAGCAGTGTAGGGAAGCATGAGCTTCCTCAAATCCATCTGAAGTTGTTTGACAGGACCAGGAAGCTTCATCCTTGAAAAGACGAAACTTTTGGGTATCTTATCGCCAGTGACATGATCAACATTCGGTTGGTTTTTCTTCGCAATAGGCTTCACAGCGACCCTACTCTTCTTATTCTGTATCATCACAAAGTCGTTCAAAGCCAGTAAACACACATATTACTGGAGAGAGAAACGCGAATTGGGTAGAGAGATTCAGCACAGAAAGTTTCACACTTACGTTTTTGAAACGACCCATTTTTGCTCTTTTAGCTTCACAGATTCTGGAAAGAGAAAATCGAAATTCGTGAATACAAAGACGAAGCGTTTGTGCACATTAAAGCAAATCAAAACCTCTTAAACCTTAGCGAGAACAGTAACAGAGAATCAGCTCTAAATTAGGGGTTTTCCAAATATACCCAGAGTCATGGGTGATTCGAAAGAGAATAAAACTAGAGAGGATAAGAAATCATCACCAAACCTAATTTCGCCGGCCGGAGTAACTGAGACGAGGTAGGAGATGGCGGCCGATATTGTAAAGACTGAGAAGTTTGTTCATCGGATGGTGAAGAAGCCCTATATACTCAAACCGGTTTCGGCTAAAATCCGGTTTTTGGTAATTGTCTCATTACGAGTCCGGTTTAGTGATTCAGTCGTTTTCAAAAAAAGAATTTATTCATCATTAGTTAACTAATTAATTTTATTCGTCTTCCCGACAAGATAGCTTAAGAATTTATTTATTTTAACTAATTATTTATTTATTTTTCTTTTCCCTTATAACAAAAACACATTTTTTTCATCTTTGGTCATCGAATTGAGCATCAACCGTGGAGATTGCTTAGGTAATATTTTTCTCTTCCTCAATGTCGAAAATTTCTTTGCTTAATCTTCTATTACCTTTGAGGAGCCAAGCTCGTCGTCTTGCTCCAACTCAATCTATATCTCTATTAACAGAATCGCATTTTCTTAAAAGTTCAATTCAATTGCATTTTTCTAATCGAAAGATTGTTAACTTTTTGATTCGCTTTTAGAAATCTCAATTTATTTATTGTCTGATTCAGGGTTTCTTTCAATTTTCACTCTTTTTGGGCTTTTAAGTTTCTCATTCTTCGCCGATAAACTCGAAGAATTCTGATTTTCTTTTATGTGGAGAAAATTGAAGATAATCTGATTCCATCTTGTTTGTTCTTTTGATCTAATCGTCTTCGTTGCTATTAGGAGATATATTGAGGTTTGGATAAATACAACTTACAGATAAGTCTTGTATAGAGAGATAACTTCTAGTTAGATATGTTGAGATGCGTTGTTATCAATGATCTTTGAAAAGGATTCTGGTTTTGATAACTCTGTTCACTGCTGAATCTGATTTCTTATTCTTCTGAATGCAGAAAGATGCTAAAGGTCCCTGAACACCAAGTTGCTGGCCACATTGCTAAAGATGGGAAGCTAGGTCCGCTCGTAGACGACCAAGGCCGGTTCTTCAAGCCGCTTCAGGGAGACGCTCGTGGAGAAAACGAAGCCAAGTTCTACGAGTCTTTCTCAACGAACAAGAACGTTCCAGATCACATCCACAAGTACTTCCCTGTGTATCACGGCACTCAGCTAGTGGAAGCGTCTAATGGCTCCGGCAAGCTTCCCCACTTGGTTCTTGAAGATGTTGTCTCGTGTTACTCGAATCCGTCGGTGATGGACGTTAAGATCGGGTCAAGGACTTGGTACCCGGACGTCTCGGAAGAGTACTTCAAGAAGTGCATCAAGAAAGACAGAGCGACCACCACGGTCACGCTGGGGTTTAGGGTTTCGGGTTTTAAGGTTTTCGACCACCAAGAGTCTAGGTTTTGGAGAGCGGAGAAGAAGGTTGTGCTAAGTTACAAAGTCAACGGCGCTAGGTTGGCTCTGAGGAAGTTCGTGTCATCGAACTCGCCTTCTGACGACGACGACTCGCCACCAAACTGCGCGTTTGCGTCGGAGGTTTATGGCGGTTCCGATGGGATCTTGGCGCAGTTGCTGGAGCTTAAGGCATGGTTCGAAACGCAAACGTTTTACCATTTCAATTCTTGCTCGATTCTGATGGTTTATGAGAATGAATCCATCTTGATGAAAGGAGGAGGAGACGATGAGAAGAAGAAGAAGCCGGTGCGGGCTCAAGTGAAGCTGGTGGATTTCGCACATGTTCTTGATGGAAACGGTGTCATCGACCATAATTTCTTGGGTGGGCTCTGCTCTTTCATAAAGTTCATCAAAGATATTCTCCAGAGCTAGACGGAGTGTGATGAAGGCTAGATTTCGAATAATCTCCAAGTTTCTTGACATGACGTTTTGTCCATTTCAACTGTATTTTATTTGGTGTTACCTACTACATAACCAAAACATTATACTTTTCATTCGAGGGAAAATATCGGAAGCTTCTCTGCTTTCTTGTTATAGCAAGCAAAAATGCATTTTCAGGTGAACGTAATAAAGAACTTAGAAGAATTAAGTGCGTAATGTCAACATCGAAGCGTAGTCTTTAGAACATAATCTTACTCAAATAAACACAAAGTAGTGTACTCAACTTTAACTCTTTAAGCTACATCGCATGGAAACAGAGTAGCTTTGAAATATGATAAGAATATTAAGACAAGGTATTGAAGACTTGAGCAGTTGAAGCAACCTTGAAGAAGACGTCTTCGAGAGTTGTGTCGGCGAGTCCCCAAGCAAAAACCGTGAATTGGCTTTTAGCAATCTCCACCAACGAAAACACGTCAGAAATCATGACTTCTTGCTTAGGGATCTCGAATTCCTGTGTTCCTGCTAGATGATATACTTTCTTGGCGTTTGGTGAAACATTTTTAACCATACTCTCTACTTCCTCTTCGTGTTCCGTTGAGGTCGTCATCGTGAAGACGTACGATCCACCGTACCTTCCTCTAAGCTCTTTTGGGTTTCCTATGCAGTGCAAGCCTCCGTCTACAAATATCCCCAGCCTGTCGCATAGAAACTCTGCTTCTTCCATTGAGTGAGCTGAATAAAACGTGAGGGACAAGCTTCTCTTAGGTTAAAAAAAAAATCCATCAATTTCTTATCAAGTGAAATTTTCTTGAGAAGAGAGATTGAAAATACTTGTGAGGATTATGGCAGTGTTTTGTTTTGCACGTTCGATCACGGTCCACAAGTTCTTCCTTGAAGCTGGATCAAGTCCAGTGCTAGGCTCATCCATGTAAACCACCTTTAACAAATCAGAAAATGGATTCGTTAATAGATTTGAGCCATTAATAGCTGATAAAATCACATAACAAGAGAGCAAGAGATGTACCTTTGGATTTCCGATAAGCGAAATGGCCACACTAAGTCTCCTTTTCATACCTCCGCTGTATTTTCCGGCAGGCTTGTCAGCAACTCCTCCATCAAAAAGGCTGACACTTTTTAGAGATTCTTCCACAGCCTTGAAAAATGATCAATCATATATCCATTAATTAATCAATTAACATTGTCTTGTGGTAAAGAGAATCAGAAAGTGATAAACTTACTTGTGTTAGAGCAGAGCCCTTGATATTCTTAAGTCTCCCATAAAAGAGAAGATGTTCCCTTCCTGTTAGCGTCTCCCAAAGCAAGCTGATAAACCAAGAGAAATGACAAAACATATATAAAACCACTCCTTACTTGCAATGGTAATGAAAGAGAATCCATAAGTGTTGTTAAAAGAGTATATATATTTACTCGTGCTGCGGACATACGCCCATGCTGGTGTATACTTTGTTCATATCCTTGCATATGTCCAAACCTTGAACCAATGCAGTTCCAGATGTCGGTTTCAAGAGTCCAGTCATCTAGCGCATGCAACAGAGAACAATGTCACAAAACTTTAACACTCTGAAACGTTCATTAATGTTTTGAGTGTTAAAAAAAGTTGTTTCTAGCGAAACTGACCATATTAATGAAAGATGTTTTGCCGGCGCCGTTAGGTCCAAGCATGCCGAAACATTCTCCTGAAGGCACGTCGAGATATAAACCTCTTACTGCTACTTTTGGTGGGTTACCATCTCTACCTGGATACACCTTCTTCAGGTTGTCACACACGATCGCATGCCCTGTGCTTCCTTCTTTCCTCAATTTCTCAACTTTCTCCCTCTGATCATTTTCAACTTTTTATCAGAACAACTTGAAAACAAGAAGACTTATAAAGACTTGTTTGTGTTTGTGTTTATATACATACCTCGTGAGTGACATCTGATTTTTCCATGTCAATGAGGACGTTGTCAGAGGTTTGACTCTGTACAGGACTAGGGCTTGGCACGGAAGAAGATTTCTTGAAGAAGAAGAAAAGGCTTTTCCCGGACGAAGAAACATAGTCGATATAGTAGGCTACAAGGAGAACCACAAACCATTCCACTGACATGATGTAGAACAGTTTCGCCATTCCGGTTTCGCCGAGATCCTCCCACTTCATCCCGTTCCCACGGAGGGCAGATTGCGAGAACTCATACAATCCGCGGTATAAGGCAAAGCCAGGATACAACTCCAAGGCAAGAATCCCATATTCTGTTTAAACATAAAAAAAAAACTAGTGATATGAACAAAGAGTGGTCGTAAACACATATATGTTGTTCAAGAAATTGATCATCCTTGTTAACTTACCAGGGAATGAAGGACTTTCAATTAGTTCTCCGAAGAGAAACGATCCCAAGAGCCCAGTTCCAAACACCATAATGTAAGCAACAACTACAAAATCAAGCCAGTAAAAAAATAGTCAAAAGGCCGTTGAAATTTCACTTGAGTAACATATTCTTGAATCTTGATCAAAAGTATATACCTGTGACAGTCTTAACCTTTGAGAACAAGGAAGAGGCTAAAAAGGCGACGGAGATTTGCAGATTGATGTAGATGAAATAGAAAACAGACTGGACGCTATATGCGTTGATCCGGAAGTAATTGAGTCCAATGGCCGACCCGAAGATGACTAGCGAAGCAACGTACAATATGGATATTATAAGAAAATATGCATACGAAATCATCCAATAGGGACCATCGCCTAGGCCGTGCATTTTCATTATTATTCTTAGACGCTCTTGTTTCTCGTACACCAATGATGTCAAGATCACCTGATGACAAAACAACAACGGAATATGAGTATAAACATGGTGTAAATCTATAGTGCTTGCAGTGGCTTAAATTAAGTATTCAAGAACTTACCGGGAACAGAAGAAGAACAACCCAAGTAAAGAAAAGCGGACCAAACATAGACGCTAAATCTGGGAGACCATTATTATTACTTGCTTGTCTAGGAACTTCTTTGACAAACTCGAATAATATCCTTGTCCCGGGACCTTTCAGAAACTTTAGATAAGCATTTGATACCTGCATGCAGTTTCTTAGCAGTTAAAGAAACATGTAAATTAAATAAAGAGAACATATTTTGATTTGATAGTACTAATTAATAGCGTGGCTTAATTACCAGACTGATCAAGCGAGGAACTCGGACCAAAGGTCCACTTGAATCGTATTCTGTCGCATTATACCAGATGGTCACGTCCAAGTTTTTTGTATCCGTACTCATGAGATCATATGCTAAGGCCAACGAAAATACATCAAACAGTTAGATGGATGTATACTACTAAACTAAGCATATATATATATTTATAAAAATATATTAATACACCAACCTGCAGCAATCTCATTAGTCATCCGCTCAGGATTTCCCCTCCAAATACCCTTGAAAATCTCATCATTGACCTCTGCAGAACTGTTTCTCCACAGGCACAACCCTTGAACACACTTCACCTCTGGGATGACACAAATAACCACTCAGCTATACAAATTGTCAACGTGAAGAAAAAAAACACATTTTGAACATCAAGAAGATAAAAATTGTACTTGTCTTGATTTTTCCGAACTGGAGTGGCCATGTAGCGTTTGGACGTCTACACTGAGATTGGATATTGTAAATGGGAAACTCAGGGTCAATTGCTGGATCGTCATAATTGTTTTCCCCTGCCGATACTGCTGAGCCCTGAAAACTCATGCCATGACCTTTTAGTAAAACAAAAATCTGAGACAGAGAGATAGATCTCTACACTGAAAAAAAAAGAAAAAGCAAACGTACCAAAACATTATAAGCTAAACTAGGCAAGAGGTCGGAGGTATTCACGGAGAAAGAACCACCGAAGATATTCCCGGACAAGGCTGGAGAAACATGAAGGAGATAAGTTCCTCAGCATTCAAAAATGGTAGCAATAGTTATATTAAGCATGTACCTTGACCAAGAGATTGGTTATTCCCAGTAATAAGTATAGTTACAGGACAAGTTCCTGTTTTCCTACAGGACACGTCAGGGAGGTCACTGTAGGGTAAGAAATTTGATTTGACGGCACGAGATTGTGGTTCTGGAATCTCTAGCATGGGAGGCAACAATGGAGGGTTTGGGATGGGACAACCACTACTGCTGAGAGATAAATCTTCACTTGCACATGACGTAATCGCCTTCGGGACTTTATTCGCCACAGAATTAATCATTAATTGCAGCCCTAAGAGAAGCAAGCAAAGAAAAAGTGGAACCAAGACGAGTCTAACATTCGTCCATATGCGTTTCCTCTGCACCAAAAAAAATCAATGTATTACATAGAGACTAAATCAAATTGTATAATGATCATCATATCTCATTTTTCTGGTTCATTTTTCATGATCTATCAAGCTTTTTTTTTCCACAGATTCGCACACATATATGTTCGTAGAGGAAACAGAAAAGGCATAGACATACCTGGAAAGTTAAGTTCTTTCTGAGTAACGCATTTGCCTGAGCCCAGAAACTGGCTTGACCATGATTCGCCATTGACGAAAGAAACAAGCTCTGAAAACCTCTGATAGTCCTTAATTTTTCTTTTCCTCCGTTGCGTTTTGAGGTATCTCAATACGTTTACATTCATATGCGTTGCGTTTTAGACGGATTTCTTTATTTTTTATTTTTGGTAAGTAACGGATTTCTTTATTTTATTTTGGACAAAATAGGGACTTAAATTTTCACACGGTTTTCAAGTTAACCAGAAATTTAAGGGATTTTATCAGTCTTTGCGAGAGAGAAAAAAATATTAGAGTAATTGAAAAGCCCTTAAATTTCGTAATTAATTAAATCTTAATTAATAAAATAATACTAAACTCTCGATTACCATATTTTTGTTGACAGCAGATTATACGGTCTACTACCATATTTGCGTCGAGATTTGGTTGACTAACAACAATGTGATGATGATGCATGTATCAATTCATCATACATCACCCCCATTCTTAATTTTCTAATGATACAGATTTGTTTCCAAACATATCAACAAAGAATACTTGGTAACATTCCGATTTTTACGTAGAAACGGAAAAGATAAAAAAGAAAACAAATTACAGGGTGTTTACCATTTCAGAAAACGCGTTTCTGATAATTATGGATGAATTACACAAGAAAGGAAAAAATATCATCCAGACTCCTTTGTATTTTTGTGATAAATGAGATTCCTATCAACGGTGGTTAATAAATTTTCATAGGCGTTTTATTGGCATTTAGCTAGATAGATCGGTTAGAAATTTAAAATGATCTCAAAAATAAATTATTATTATTTTAATACGATAAATCCCATAAACTAAGTATATAATTTTTTTTTTTAAAAAGGATAAAACCACTTATGGAAAGAGAAATGGCTTTTGAATATCTTAAATGAGAATCCCATTTCAATAGGGATCCTCTAAATCAAATAACATAACGTAATTTTCAAAAAGGTCAAAAAAGAAAAAAAATTGTCAAATCGGCTTATTTCTCTGATCATGACTCTGCGAGGAGGCTTTCCGCTTCTCTGCCAGCAGTTCACGGCGTTGTTCAAGAAGAATCTTCTGCTAACATGGCGGAGCAAGAGAGCCACGTTTCTTCAGCTCTTCTCTTCGTTTTTCTTGATCCTTCTCATCTTCTGTATCCAAGAAGCGATGGAGGCGAACGACGAAACCTCGGCGTCGCACACAAGTGTCACCGATCCCAAGGCATTAGCCTCGCCTCCGATTCCGCCTTGTGAGGATAAGTTTTTCGTGAGACGCCCCTGCTTCGACTTCGTGTGGAGTGGGAACCAGAGCCGTCGAGTGACTGACATTGTCTCTGCAATTATGGCCAACAATCCCGGACGACCAATTCCGAGCGAAAAGGTTTTTCTATTTGTCTAGTTTTTTTTTTCCTTAATTTTGATAATTTTTTTTTATAAGGTATTTTGGTTTTGCTATTCCGAACAAGTGTAAATTCATAATTTATTATTATAAAATAATTGGATGGGTTTTTACTCTTTATTGTGTTTTTTTTTTACGTCAGTCAAAAATGTAAAGATTGTGTTTTGTTTGTTTGAAATGAGATTAGTAATGAAGCCGGAATGTGTAAAGTCAGAAGATTAATTTCTCTTGTGTGGTGCATATTCAGGTTCAATCTTTTAAAGGGCCTGAGGAGGTAGATGCATGGTTTTTGTCACATCCTTTGCAAGTCCCAGGAGCTTTGCATTTTGTGGAAAGGAATGCTACTGTAATCAGCTATGGAGTTCAGACAAATTCCACGTCGGAGAAAAAACGTGGTCGTGCTGAAGATCCAACGTTTAAGTTCCTTGTTCCTCTTCAAATCGCAGCAGAGCGTGAGATCGCAAGGTCCTTGATTGGAGGTACCAATTCTTGAAATCTTTTTGAGTTGGAATGTGGTACATTTATGACATGGAAATTAATCGTCTCTATACATTTCTTACAGATGCAAACTTTGGTTGGGGTTTCGGGTTTAAGGAATTTGCGCGTCCAGCTATTGTTGGTGGACGAGGAAATTTTTCTGCACTGAATATAATGGGACCAGTGTTCTTTCTTGCTTTCTCCATGTTTGGTTTTGTTCTCCAACTCGGTTCTCTGGTTACCGAGAAGGAGCTAAAACTTCGCCAGGTTTTTATAATCTGTTATTTTGTAGCTAATATAGTTAATTATATTACCATTGTGTGATAGATTATTCAGAAATCATGTATTTTGCTTACTTGTTTTATAACAGGCAATGACAATGATGGGAGTTTTTGACACAGCTTATTGGTTATCATGGCTCGTATGGGAAGGAATCCTTACGTTTATCTCCTCACTCTCCTTAGTCCTCTTTGGAATGATATTCCAATTCGAATTATTCTTGAAGAACAGTTTTGTTGTTGTCTTCCTGCTTTTCTTTCTTTTTCAGTTTAATATGGTAAAACATCCCTCCCCATTACTGATTATGTTTAATCTCTCTGAGATATGTTGGTGGCGTGTCACTCAAGTTATCTATTATTTTGTGTTGCTAGATTAGCCTAGCGTTCGTGCTCTCATCTTTGATCAGCAAATCCTCTTCAGCAACAACTGTTGGTTTCCTTGTGTTTCTCATTGGTTTTATCACACAGGTGTGCCTTGAAACATTAGCTGAAATTTGTTCATTTAAAATCTTGGATTCTTATTACTAGTTATACTTGTAATTGCAGATTGTATCAGCTTCTGGATATCCTTATAAAGACACACGTTCGATACCTATCCGGGTGGTATGGTCATTGTTTCCACCAAATACCTTCACTGCGGGTGTGGGACGGCTTCTTGGAGCGGCATCAACTCCCGGAGTCTCTGGAATCAATTGGAGTAATATAGGAGCATGCGCAGCGGACGACGACACTGCTTGCTTTCTTACATTTGTATGTCAACCTTTCAAGATACATTTCATCAGAGAGTAATAAGTCTTATTATTCTCCTAACCAAAATATCTCCTTTGGCAGAACCAAATCTATATATGGCTTGTGGGGACATTCTTCTTCTGGTTTGTTCTTGCTATCTACTTTGACAATATCATTCCCAATGCATCCGGTGTAAGAAAACCCATCTTCTACTTTCTAAAGCCTAGCTATTGGACTGGCAGAGAAGGCAACAAAGTTGAAGGTAACTTTCTCTTTGCATGTTTTTTTTTAAATGTTTTCACAACATATTTTACCAATGTGTGTGTGTGATAAGCCAACACATGTTCCTCCTACACTTTCTACAGAAGGGAGCATTTGTAGTTGTACCGGTTCAGTTCCTCCGGTAGAGCATATGACAACAGAGGACCAAGATGTGCTTGAAGAGGAGACACTAGTTAAACAAGAAGCAATAGATGGGATAGTTGATCCTAACGTTGCAGTTCACATACATGGTCTTGCAAAGACATATCCCGGAACCACAAAGCTTGGATGTTGCAAGTGCACCAAAACCGCCCCTTTTCAAGCTGTAAAGGTATATTATTTTTCCTGATAAAGACAAGAATGAAGACATTTCTGGTACCTATGACAGTTATATATACTCATCAGCTGCTATGTCATGGCATACTAATTAAATATATGTTTCAGGGTTTGTGGATGAAAATTGCCAAAGATCAGTTGTTTTGTCTTCTCGGACCCAATGGCGCAGGGAAGACAACTACTATCAGTTGTTTGACTGGCATAAATCCAGTTACTGCTGGGGATGGTAAGAAAAGCTATTGCTCACCTTTATTTTTGAAGAAGTTTTGTTTTTAACCATATCCTAACATGATCTCTGTTTGGTCGACTTGAACAGCAATAATTTATGGAAACTCCATACGAAGCTCTGTTGGTATGTCCAACATTCGTAAAATGATAGGAGTTTGTCCTCAGGTTTCTTCTTGCATTCTCCTCTTTCTAAATACACAATGAGAAGCTGTTTGTTCTGCTTTAACGATTTATGTTTTTTTTTTTCTCAAACAGTTTGATATTCTCTGGGATGCTTTGTCGAGTGAAGAGCACCTCCTTCTCTTTGCTAGCATCAAAGGCCTGCCACCTTCATCCATCAAACCGGTACGTCACTCACGTGTTTTACACAAAAGGTTATCTAATCTGAACTTCGTTTTACTGCTTACAAATTATTGCGTTTAATTTCCGTTATATGCACAGATTGTAGAGAAGTTACTTGCAGATGTAAAGCTGACAGGAGCAGCCAAAATTAGAGCAGGTAGTTACAGTGGTGGAATGAAACGCAGACTAAGTGTTGCAATTGCACTCATTGGTGATCCAAAGCTGGTCTTCCTAGATGAACCGGTATGTGTAAATCCCATGCTACTTAATTTCTTGTATATAAATGTCCAATTAAATAATGTCTTAATTGTTGTGTTATCTTTGCTAATGTTTTTAGACAACGGGTATGGACCCTATCACAAGGAGACACGTGTGGGACATTATACAAGAATCAAAGAAAGGCCGTGCCATCATACTAACGACACATTCTATGGAGGAAGCTGACATTTTAGGTGACCGAATAGGGATCATGGCTAAAGGCAGGCTCCGCTGTATTGGAACCTCGATCAGGTTAAAATCCCGCTTTGGCACCGGTTTCATCACTACTGTTAGCTTCATCGAGAACAAAAACGACGCTGCTGGATTGAAAAGTTTCTTTAAGGAGGTATGTATATATACGTACACTAATCAATTTTTTTCTTTTTCTTTTTTTTTTTTTTTTTTTTTTTTTTTTTTTTTTTTTAGTTAATAATCTAGTAGTGTCTCTGATGAATTTTTCTTTTAGCAGTATTTGAAAGTTGAGCCAAGTGAAGAAAAAAAGGCTTTCATGACTTTTGTTATCCCACATGACAAAGAAAAACTTTTGAAGGTAACTAACCATCATCCACAAAGCTTTGATCATCTTTTGGACCTTGTTCATATATGTATATATATGTAAGATGAATGAGTAAATGTTTCATAATAATATCAAACATTAGAATTTTTTCGGGGAGCTACAAGAGAGAGAATCTGAATTTGGTATCTCGGACATCCAAATCGGGCTTGCAACTCTGGAACAAGTGTTTCTGAACATAGCAAGACGTGCAGCACTAGAAAGCGCAACGGTTGAAGGAACCATGGTTACTCTCGAGTTAGAATCAGGCATCTCGGTCGAGGTAAATACTAAATATCATACATTAATATATATCACATATTTATCACATATAGTTAGTTAGTGATGGACACAAAAACTGCATGGATGTGTAGATACCTTTGGGAGCAAGGTTTGTAGGTATCCCTGGGACAGAAAACGCAGAGAATCCCAGAGGAATAATGGTGGAAGTGTACTGGCAACAAGACGGGTCGGGATCAATGTGCATCTCTGGACACTCGCCGGAGATGCAGATACCACACAATGTTGCGGTTATATATGAACCATCGTCACAAGTCTTGGGACGTGGGCAGCGACGAGTCCGGGGTACCGTCATTGATTATGAATCGAACAATTAAGATATTAGTTTTCTGTTTTGATTACCTTTGCACTCTTCCCACACAAGAGTGAGTGAGTAAACTTATGTTTTGCTAATAAGGTTAAAGTTTCACAGTGAGTAATACTTTTTTACAGTGTAGATGGTGGTCTTAATACTTTTTTCACTTAGTTTTGTTATCTCTATCTGGTCATGACAATGATATATAGAGGCAATGCTTCTGTGTAACAAGTAGAAATTATTAAGTATTTTCTTATTTATATAAAAAATATTGAAATAGGATTAATATTGCTAGTGTTACATCAACATGCCGGTTAACAAAATGTTGAACGTACAACTTGCGGCTGTTAGGGATGACTAGCTCCTTGATGGAAATCAATAATAGCTTACTTTGTTATATACACTTTAATTTGTACATATTATTTTGGAGTTGAAAGTTGGTTCTTTCTAGAGCTAGCCGTTAGGTCCTTTTAGAGGAAGAGTTGAATAATAATGAGTATAATCAATCCCAAAAGATGATAGGTCAATAGATTTTCCTTTCTTCTCAGAGGCCACCTTCACGAAGAGACCCATAGCTCGAGCCCATTTCACCATAGTTCCGATCACTTCTTTCCTTTGATCAAAAGTTAAATCTTTCGAACCATTCTGCTTCACCTCAGCCAAAAGCTTTCCCATTGACAACATACCATCGATCATTCTCCACGATTCCACCTATATATCGTTAAAATAACATAAATAAATAAATAAAAATTATATGTCAAAAAATGCTTTCATTGAGTGAATATGATATATATTAAAACTTACTGTTCCGGCTTTACCACCATCCAATAAAGACATAGCCCTGAAGAGCTTCTCAGATTTATCTGACATCTCGACCTTGATGTCTTTTGATCCGGACTTGAAGGTCGTCATGTAGTCCTCTACCTTTGCAAAGAAATCCTTGAACTCTGCTGTGCCAGGACACTTAGCCTCCAGGATACTCATAAAATCCAACATACCATTGCAAGCGAAAGACTCAAAATCTTTGCTTGTTTGGGGCAAATCTTTCAAGTATTGGGGTAATGAGAAGGTTCCATGTGTTTCATAGAGAGATCTTTTAGAAGGAGAAGGTACGTAATCGATTCCAAAAGATGATAGATCAATAGGGTGTCCTTCACTCTCAGAGTTGAGCCGGAAGTACTTGAGTCCAATGGCTGACCCGAAGATGACCAGTGAAACAACGTAGCACATGGATATGGTAAGAAAATAGGCATATGAAATCATCCAATAGGGACCATCGCCTAGACCATGCATTTTCATTATTATTCTTAGACGCTCTTGTTTCTCATACACCAATGATGTCAAGATCACCTGCTTGTAGCTAGTTAATTACATACGATCTCGATTGGATAACAAACAACATATCCAATAATGTTAATGATTACAAGAAAACTTACGGGGAACAAAAGGAGAACAACCCAAGTGAAGAAAAGTGGGCCGAGCAAGGACGCAATGTCTTGAGTGTATTTAGTTGCATGTTTAGGAACATCTTTGACAAACTCGAATAATATCCTTGTCGCGGGGCCTTTCAGAAACGTTAGATAAGCATTTGATATCTGCATAAATATATATATATATAGACAAGGTCAAGTAACTAATGATGTAAAATATATATATATATATATATATATATATATATATATATATATTGCAAAATTCGATCAAGGATAAAGGGATGCGTTGAGTACCAGATTGATAGAGCGGGGAACTCGGACCAGCTTTAGAGGGCGAGTTGAAAACTCATCCTTGTAGGTTGAGTTATACCATATTGTCACATTGAAGTTTTTCTTATCCGTACTCTTGAGATCATATGCTAAGAAAATGGTGGAGGACATAATTGAAACAGTGAGGTTGATCCTTATAAGCATATATATATAATTAATACGATGTTAATTCAAACCTGCGGCGATCTCATTTGTCAACCCCGCAGGGTTTCCCTTCCAACTACCCTTGAAGAGCTCATCATTGACCTCCGCAGAGTTATTTCTCCAGAGACACAACCCTTGAACACACTTCACCTCTGGGATATTAATTTTTTGCATTTATCATTTCTCAGACTTGTATGTACTTTTGGCATGAACCAGAGGAAAAATCAATTAAAATACCGGTCTGAATTTTCGCGAAAGAGAGCGGCCATGTAGACTTTGCACTGCAAAGTGGTTGGATACTGTAGATGGGGAGATCTGAGGCAATCCTTGGATCTGCATAATTGTTTTCTCCTGCTGCTTCTGTCGAGCCCTGAAACTCATCATCATCATCTTTGAGTAAACACACTCAGAAATTCATATCTATATAGCTTAATTTATAAAAGGAAAGAAGGACGACATATACCAAGACATTATTGGCTAAAGAAGGCAAGACGTCTGAGGTATTAACGGCAAAAGAAGTAGCAAATATATTCTCGGATAAATCTGAAAGAGAGAGGGATACAAACACAAACACATGCATGCAGCTGGTAATTAAGTTTTGATTCGGAAAAAAAAAAGAAAAAGAGTTAGGTTACGTATCAAGGAAGGAAGCGATGGAAATATACCTTTACCAAGGGGCTGTTTATCCCCAGTGATAAGTATGGTTACAGGACAAGATCCTTCTGTTACTCTGCAGGACTTGTCAGGGAGGTCTCTGTAGGGAAGGAAATCGGCCTTAACAGAACGGAGTTCATGTTGTGGAAGCTGCAGCATCGGAGGCAACAATGGAGGGTTTGAGATGGGGCAGATATCACCAGGCATATCAGGGTTAGTCTTACAATCATTAGCCATTTGAGATACACTATTCATCAGGGCATCGAGCACTTGTTGAATCGCCAGGAGAAGCAAGCAAAGGAAGACTGGAACCAGGATGAGCCGAACATTCGTCCATATGTGTTTCCTCTGCATTGCACCGCAAATTATATCTGATCATTCATTCTATTTAATTCATTAACCGGAGGAAACACAAGGCATGCATACGCATACGTACCTGATAGGTTAAGTTCTTTCTAAGTAACGCATTGGCCTGCGTCCCGAAACTAGCCGGACTAGGATCCGCCATTGATGAAGAAAGAAAGAAAGCTTCGCTAGCCTCTCACTTGTTCGTCTTTTTTTTTTTTTTTTTTTTCTTTTTGGCTAGCCCAAGTAATTGCTACTTGTTTTAAACATGAGCTTTTCTCTTTTCTTTATAGATGAAATGATGATGTCCTATTTCCCATCAATTAGGTGCCAAAAATAAAATGAGGTCCCAATTAATTTCCAAAAATAAATGAGGGTCCCAGTTTCACAGATTTTTCTCAACGTGGGAAAGATATTAAGTCAAACCCTTAAAACTGGAAACAAAAGACCGCACGTCCCTTTAACCTATTTAAAAATAAAATAAAATAAATAATTTTCTTTATTACTAGTACAGTAGTACTTGCTTATTTTTGCTTCGGTAGCATAAGCAAAAAATGATTTTGCAAGGAGGCTTGGCGCTTCTCAATCTCAACCAGCGTGGCGACTCATATCGATCCAAGAAAAGAACACCTAAATCGTTCGGTGGTTTTGGAAGTACAGAATCTTTGAAAAGTAAGGATCATGTATCAGTATCAATGGACATCTCAAGAAAGTACATGCAACATGGACGATAATATATAAAATACGATCCATTTCGGTCAATAATTATGAAAAGGGCAGGAAAGTATGGACTATGGGTCGTTTAGGTATATGCATATGCTTAATAGAAGTCGTGTTATATCTTTAAGTTTGTGATATATTATGCTCTTTTTTTTAACTAAAAAGCTCATTTAATTTTGAGAGTCCAAGGGGTTCTTCTTGGTCATGTTTGATATTTTTTTTGTTCATCACTATTGTCTCGCTTGTTGTGCAAGAAATGTTGTTTGAAAAGTTCGAAAAACTTTACTTTTGTATACGGATTGACTAACAAAGAGGGACGCATATTAATTAATAAGATATAATGTCATTATATATCGTCCCAATAATAATAAGATAAAGCCTTTACAACAACACACATTATTTATTCTTTTACTCGCTCATATCATAGCATAGCAGATGATTGATTGTAGTGTAGAGACAGCCGTACGTTTTTATGGGAAGATACAAATGCCTTTTATCATCATGTGAACGAAAGGCTGTCTTGGGAACACAACGGGCCAGCAATCTTCTGCAATTCCTTCCACTGCGTCGCAGCAAGCATGCTTTAGATGGCTAAAGTCCCAGCGCAGTATGGCGCTAACGGCATCAGCGCATCCGTCCACCTTTTTGATTGAAGCGAAACAATCAGCTGGATTAAGAAATGCGACCTTTCTCCCTGCAATATTAGTGGAAACGCTAAGCAAAACCATTGATATCATTACAATCGATGTAAGTATTTTGTTTGAACCCATTTTTGTTTACTTATGAATTTAATGAGCTAAAAGAAACTAAACTTATTGTGTTTGCATAGAATCAAAAATGTTGATCTATATATAGGGAAAAACTTTGTGGATCCAAGACATTTTGGTTGGTAAAATACCAAATTTACTATCCATCCATCCTTAGATGTTTGAATACAAACTACACATGTGATATCACTTTTGTTTACCAAACTCAACCAAGTCAACCGAGTAATTCTTTTTTTTTTTTTGTATTTGTAACAAAAAACCATAATTTCAGAATATTTTTAATTTCTGTTCCTCCAACAAAATGGAAGGAAAACAAACACAAAAATATTTAATATCTTTTACCTCTCAAATTTCAAGATTTTAAACTTGTCTTAACTTAACTTAAATTTGAAAAAGTTGAAATTAGGAAGTACTTTTGTATTTATATAAAACTGGATTATAGGTAGTTACATAAACAGCCGGTAATAGTTTACTTTGTTATATACACTTTAATTTGTACATATTAGTTTGTAGCTGAAAGTTGGTTCTTTCTAGAGCTCGCCGTTAGGTCCTTTTAAAGGAAGAGTTGAATAATAATGAGTATAATCAATCCCAAAAGATGATAGGTCAATAGATTTTCCTTTCTTCTCAGAGGCCACCTTCACGAAGAGACCCATAGCTCGAGCCCATTTCACCATAGTTCCGATCACTTCTTTCCTTTGATCAAAAGTTAAATCTTTCGAACCATTCTGCTTCACCTCAGCCAAAAGCTTTCCCATTGACAACATACCATCGATCATTCTCCACGATTCCACCTATATATCGTTAAAATAACATAAATAAATAAATAAAAATTATATGTCAAAAAATGCTTTCATTGAGTGAATATGATATATATTAAAACTTACTGTTCCGGCTTTACCACCATCCAATAAAGACATAGCCCTGAAGAGCTTCTCAGATTTATCTGACATCTCGACCTTGATGTCTTTTGATCCGGACTTGAAGGTCGTCATGTAGTCCTCTACCTTTGCAAAGAAATCCTTGAACTCTGCTGTGCCAGGACACTTAGCCTCCAGGATACTCATAAAATCCAACATACCATTGCAAGCGAAAGACTCAAAATCTTTGCTTGTTTGGGGCAAATCTTTCAAGTATTGGGGTAATGAGAAGGTTCCATGTGTTTCATAGAGAGATCTTTTAGAAGGAGAAGGTACGTAATCGATTCCAAAAGATGATAGATCAATAGGGTGTCCTTCACTCTCAGAGGCCATCTTCACGAATACACCGATCCCTCGAGTCCATTTCACCAAAGACTGAATCAGTTCTTTTCTTTGTTCAAAAGTTATATCCTTGGAACCGCTCTTATTCATCTCAATCAAACCCTTTCCAAGTGACAACAAGCCATCCACCAGCCTCCATGAATCCTCCTATTCTCCAAAAAACACAAAATCGTTTCCACTTAAACTGCATGCATGCGACAATCATATATATGTTATTGCAGTGTTAACGTATGATTTAAACTTACTGATGTTCCGCCTTTTGTTCCACTGAATGCAGACATAGCCCTGAAGAGGCTTTCAGATTTTATTGACAGCTGGGCTTGGATATCTTTTGACTGGGGTGATGTCGAATCGAAGCTGGCCATGTAATCCTTCAGCTTTACAAAAAAATCATTGAACTTTGTGGTCTTAGGACATTTGCCCTCCAGATCAGCCATGAACTCCGACATCCCTTTCTCAGCAAAAGGCTCAAAATCTTTGCCTAATTTGGGGAAATTCTTTAAGTAATGGGGTAGTGAGAATGTCGCTTGCGTTTCATACACAATGCTTAATGCAACAAGTAACATTAGACATATCATTAATGTTTTTCTTGCCATTTTATTCTTAAATATATAGAAGAAAAAAGATTATTCGTTTTTTTTTGTTTTTTGTTTTTGTTTTTTTTTTTGTTGTTGAATGATTGTGGTTACTATGAGAACTCAATTTATATAGATGTTTTAGAAATCTAATTTTAACTAATTAAGTAAATGAAGTGGTCAATAAATTAGTGGTCGTCCACGAATGTTAAAAGAGAAATCGGCAAAACTTTCTATGGCTATTCGCTCTACTCTTACTTTTATTTTTAGAAAGATCATTTTTGTCGTCATACTATATTTGGATCGTAGACTACGTGTATGGACCCTACCACAAAGAGACATTCGTGTGGACATTAGTAATACAAATTTTTTTAAAAAGGTCTCAGTGTTTCCGTTTTCCCGGGATTTCAAGATATAGTTTATCTATGCATTTCTTTCTATTCGACGAGCTTCACGGACTCACGGACACGGTTAAAGATCGTTTCGAATGCACATAATAGAATGTGGTTTCGGAAGTACATAATCTTTGAAAAGTAAGGATCATATATAAAATATTACATATGTATCAATGGACACTCTCAAGAGAGTACATGCAACATGGACGATAATATAAAAAATACGATCCATTTCGGTCAAATGAAAAGGGCAGGAAAGTATGGACTATGGGTCGTTAGGCATATGCATATGCTTAATAGAAGTCGTGTTATATCTTTAAGTTTGTGATATATTATGCTCTTTTTTTAACTAAAAAGATCATTTAATTTTGAGAGTCCAAGGGGTTCTTCTTGGTCATGTTTGATATTTTTTTTGTTCATCACTATTGTCTCGCTTGTTGTGCAAGAAATGTTGTTTGAAAAGTTCGAAAAACATTACTTTTGTATAGGGATTAATGACTAACAAAGAGGGACGCATATTAATTAATAAGATATAATGTCATTATATATCGTCCCAATAATAATAAGATAAAGCCTTTACAACAACACACATTATTTATTCTTTTACTCGCTCATATCATAGCATAGCAGATGATTGATTGTAGTGTAGAGACAGCCGTACGTTTTTATGGGAAGATACAAATGCCTTTTATCATCATGTGAACGAAAGGCTGTCTTGGGAACACAACGGGCCAGCAATCTTCTGCAATTCCTTCCACTGCGTCGCAGCAAGCATGCTTTAGATGGCTAAAGTCCCAGCGCAGTATGGCGCTAACGGCATCAGCGCATCCGTCCACCTTTTTGATTGAAGCGAAACAATCAGCTGGATTAAGAAATGCGACCTTTCTCCCTGCAATATTAGTGGAAACGCTAAGCAAAACCATTGATATCATTACAATCGATGTAAGTATTTTGTTTGAACCCATTTTTGTTTACTTATGAATTTAATGAGCTAAAAGAAACTAAACTTATTGTGTTTGCATAGAATCAAAAATGTTGATCTATATATAGGGAAAAACTTTGTGGATCCAAGACATTTTGGTTGGTAAAATACCAAATTTACTATCCATCCATCCTTAGATGTTTGAATACAAACTACACATGTGATATCACTTTTGTTTACCAAACTCAACCAAGTCAACCGAGTAATTCTTTTTTTTTTTTTGTATTTGTAACAAAAAACCATAATTTCAGAATATTTTTAATTTCTGTTCCTCCAACAAAATGGAAGGAAAACAAACACAAAAATATTTAATATTTTTTACCTCACAAGATTCAAAAGATTTTAAGTTAGTCTTAACTTAACTCTCGAAGATCTGTTTTGTGATATCTTATCTTTATATTATTAATTGAGAAGTACATTCTAATGTTTGGATACAAGAATTAGAGAAACATCTATTTGGATAGAAGAATAAATGGAAACAAAGTTGTTTGGATATAAGAATAAGAGAAAAATCTATTTGGATAGAAGAATAAATGGAAAAAATTGTTTAGATACAAAAATAATAACTTAAAATAAACCGATGGTTTAGAAAAATTCCGTTTCTCATCTCTTAAAAATCTGCAAAAAAGAAAACTTAACATAATCTAACGATAATTCCAAATCAATAGAATATGTTTTTTGGATTTTCGGGTTTTATAGACAAGTTCGGGTTTTATAGAAATATATATAGAGATATAGAAATTGTTCGGGTTTCTTTGAAAATTTCTGTTCGGGTTAGGTTCAATTTTTTTTTTCAGTATAGGGTTTTCCGGATTTTTTAGATTTCTGGTTTTCGTGTTTAGATATATTACTCCCTCTGTTTCAAAATATAAGGGATTTTAGAGTTTTAGTTTTGTTTCAAAATATAAGGGGTTTTAGAGTTTTAATGTAAAATTAAATGTATTTTTATTACTTTAGATTATTTATACTCTGCAGATTTATTATTCATTGGTTAAAATGTTTTGGAATTGATGATCAATTTTTTTTTTTCAAAAAGTACAAAAAGTAAATGGCTTCTTAATTTTTGTGCAAAAACCTTAAACCCCATATATTATGAAACAAAGGGAGTAAAAAAATTGAGTATTTTAAAATTTTGATTAGGTATTGGGGTCGGGTTCCGGGTGAAAAAGTTTCCAGATTTTGTTTGTTCAGGGTTTTCGGGATTTTTTTTTATTTCGGATTTTCATGTTTAGACCTATTAAAAAAGTTTGGGTTTTTAAATTTTTTGATTAGGGTTTTTTGTCGGGTTCATATTTAGGATTTAAATTTTCTACACAAAACAACAACGTCACACCGCACAAACGTGAAGATACTCTACTAGTAGTATTTATTTTAGATTTCATATTTGACAGGTTAATGCTAATAGATCATGCTTATTATTTTAATTTTATTTTGCAAACTAACAGACCATTTATAAAATTCGATCTTATATCACCATCCAAAAAACCTGTGAAAATTAACAAATGTTGTAAACTTGATGGGTTTCAACAAAAAACCGTCATTAATTATGGTGAAAGTGTACGTGACTACAGTCTACAGGAAATACGCTCGATTTATCAAAATAATCCTATATGCATAAAATAATCCTAAATCAATTGATCGAGCATAAAATAATCCTATATCAATTGATCCTAAATAATCCTATATGCATAACACTTTAACTGTGTAAATTATCTACAATTTCAGGATAATAAATTTCAAGTACAGGACTACTGGAATTTGAATTGAACGAGAGTTTTCTTATGGATTTCACTTAAGACTGGTATGTTCTTTTTATTTCATGTAATGGCTCATGGCTGTTATGGAAGTTTCTCCATTATAATACTTAGACCATTCTGCCGAACAAGTGACTTTAGTTTTCTAGGTTTGCTATGATAACTCTCCGAATTTTATAACAGCTTATGCATTTTCTGCTTCTTGATCTTACTTTGTGATCTTGTTTACATACAAGAAAACAGATCCATCGCCTTTGTTAATAAGGACTTTGGAAAATATGACACATTGACACGGCCTAATAAGTCTTTATTGACAAAGGCGATGGATCTGTTTTCTTGTATGTAAATATGTTTTACTATAAGTTTAGTCATGCATCCCTAGCTTCTAATAGCCTTCTATAGGTCGATAATGTGTTTTTGCTCTAGGAATGTTCACATTTAGAACAATAATATTTACAGTTCGCTTAATGATTGCTTCCGAGTTTCCACATTATAAATGGGAATTTTGTTGTGTTATTGCTTTTGGGTTACTGATCTTCTTGGCTATATAATGTTGTTATTTCAGCTCAGAGACGCTGTTTGGATTATTTATAGGAAGAGCTGGTGTTATGAAATCTGGTTGAGAACAACGCAAACTCTACTTCAGTAGATATCAAACTTATTTTACAGATTTTGTATTTCTACAGATTTTTACTAACTTTTGTAATCATCAAACGAAATGTTTATTTTTATGTTTTGTTTCTTGTTGTATAATATACTTGATTCCTCCTCATTTTATTTTAAATTCATTGTCGTTTTGAAATTTTTTTTGTCACGGTTTTTCAATTTAAAAAAAAAAAAAAAAAATAGTATAAAGAGATAAATGGTATGGCATATGCATGGCGTCGGTTTTAAAAGCAACGTTTAAAACAACATAAAAAGTGACACTATAATTTTGACGTTAAGTATATTACTTAACGTCAAGTTTTTAAGTGACGCTAAAATGTTTTTAAGTATAGAAACAATTTAACGTCGGCACATATCACGACACTTATCAAACCAACGCCATATTATTAGGGTCAGTTTACAACCGACGTTAACCCATATAACAACCGACGGTAAAACGGCGTGTGTTTTGTACTGTGTACTGGCTGGCCCAAATAATTGCTAATTGTTTTAAACATGAGCTTTACTCTTTCTTGATAGATGAAATGATGGTGTTCTAATTACCATCAATTAGGTGCCAAAAATAAAATGAGGAGGTCCCAGTAAATTTCCAAAAATAAATGAGGGTCCCAACTTCGCCCATTTCTCAACGTGGGAAAGATATTGAGTCAAACCCTTAAAAACTGGAAACAAAAGACCGCACGTCCTTTAAACTATTAAAAAAAAATAATAATAATAAGTAAACAATTTTCTTTATTACTAGTATTTGCTTATTTTTGCTTTGATAACAGAAAAAGAAAGTAAAAAATGATTTTGCAAGGAGGCTTGGCGCTTCTCAACCAGCAGTTCACGGCCTTGTTCAGGAAGAACCTGCTGCTATCATGGCGGAACAAGAAAGCCACGTGTCTTCAGCTCTTCTCTTCCTTCTTCTTCATCTTTGTCATCTTTTGTATCGAGGAAGCGATGAAGGCGAGCGAGGCATCCTCAACGGCGTACAAGAATGTCACCGATCCCACGCTTCTGTTTTCGCCGCCGATCCCTCCTTGTGAGGATAAGTTCTTTGTGAAGCTTCCTTGCTACGATTTCGTATGGAGTGGGAACAGTAGTCGCCGCGTCACTGACATTGTCTCTGCTATCATGGCCAACAATCCGGGGAGACCAATTCCTAACGACAAGGTTCAATCATTCAAAGGCCCCGAGGAGGTCGATGCATGGTTAATGTCACATCCTTTGCAAGTCCCAGGAGCTTTGCATTTTGTGGAAAGGAATGCTACTGTAATCAGCTATGGAGTTCAGACGAATTCCACGTCGGAGAAAAAACGTGGTCGTGCTGAAGATCCAACGTTTAAGTTCCTTGTTCCTCTTCAAATCTCAGCAGAGCGTGAGATAGCGAGGTCTTTAATTGGAGGTACCAATTCTTGAATATCTTGGAGCCATAATTTGGAATTGGTGGCTTTTGACTCTACATACTTGTATTCAACTTCAGATCCAGGTTTTGGTTGGGGTTTTGGATTTAAGGAATTTGCGCGCCCAGCTAATAAAAGCGAAACCATCTCTGCACTCAGAATCATGGGACCAATCTTCTTTCTTGCTTTCTCCATGTTTGGCTTCGTTCTCCAACTCGGTTCTCTGGTTACCGAGAAAGAGCTAAAACTTCGTCAGGCAATGACAATGATGGGAGTTTTTGATACAGCTTATTGGTTATCATGGCTCACATGGGAAGGAATCCTTACCTTCATCTCCTCACTCTTCCTAGTCCTCTTTGGAATGATGTTCCAGTTCGATTTTTTCTTGAAGAACAGTTTTTTTCTTGTCTTCTTCCTTTTCTTGCTTTTTCAGTTTAATATGGTAAACATCCGCATTTCCTTTACGTGTTGTGCTACTGCTTCCTCTAGGGAGTGAGATACATGTGGTTTTTTTTAATGTTTTCTCTTATTACTTGTGTTGCAAGATTGGCCTAGCATTCGTGCTATCATCTTTCATTAGCAAATCATCTTCGGCTACAACTGTTGGTTTTCTTGTGTTTCTGATTGGTTTCATGACACAGGTTTGGGCTCTCTTGCGCTACCCGAATCAAAACTGCTTCCTCAAATCGTGTGACTTATTACTCGATACACTTTTGTAACTGCAGATTGTTTCAGCTACTGGATTCCCTTATTCCAGTGCCTACTCTGCCTCTCGCCGGCTCATGTGGTCACTCTTTCCACCCAACACTTTTTCTGCTGGCCTTAAGCTTCTTCTTGATGCAACTTCATCTCCCGGAAGCTCTGGAATTAGTTGGAGTCAAAGATCAGCATGCGAAGGGGGCATGGCAACTTGCGTGATTTCAGTTGTATGAAATCAAATACTACTTGTCCATTTCTCTCAAACCACCACTAGATATTTTATCTACCTTTTCATCTTGTTTTTCTTGCCAGAACATTATCTTCCAGTGGCTCCTCGGGACATTCCTTTTCTGGTTTGTTCTGGCCATCTACTTTGACAATATTATTCCCAACGCGTCCGGGGTAAGAAAACCCATCTTCTACTTCTTAACACCGGGTTATTGGACTGGCAAAGGGGGCAACAAAGTGGAAGGTACATTTTTCGAATTTTGTTTTTTGGTTGGTTGGGAAATGTAAACCAAACATGTTCCTACGTAAACTTTATACAGAAGGGAGCATTTGTAGCTGTATCGGGTCAGTTCCACCCGTAGAGTATGTGACGCCGGAGGACCAAGATGTGCTTGAAGAGGAGACACTGGTTAAACAACAAGCAATAGATGGGATTGTTGACCCTAACATTGCAGTTCAGATACATGGTCTTGCAAAGACATATCCCGGAACCACAAAGCTTGGATGTTGCAAGTGCACCAAAACGTCCCCTTTCCATGCTGTGAAGGTATTTTATTTCTTGTTCAGTCTGTTGCGATATTTAACATGGTCGTAAGTGTTCTATATATGCCAAAGCTATCCAACAAATCGTAATGCTCATTGTCTCTTGTGGTTTCCGACATGGAACATATCACAACAATTCCGTATACATATATATTCAGCTTATTAATTAGCTTATGAAATATATGTTTCAGGGTTTGTGGATGAATATTGCCAAAGACCAGTTATTTTGTCTTCTCGGACCCAATGGTGCAGGGAAAACAACTAGTATTAGTTGTTTAACTGGCATAAATCCAGTTACTGGTGGAGATGGTAAGGATTTTGTTAAGAAGAAGCTAGTTCCAAAGCATTTTTAACCATTCTAATAATAATTAAGACCTATTTTGATTGATTCAAACAGCTCTCATTTATGGAGAGTCCGTAAGAAGCTCTGTTGGCATGTCCAACATTCGTAAAATGATAGGAGTTTGTCCTCAGGTAGATAAATTTTATATTTGATCACTTTTGCCATTGTCTTCTTAATTCTTACACATATTTTGTTTGGTGTTTTTTATTAAACAGTTTGATATCCTTTGGGATGCTTTATCCAGTGAAGAACACCTCCACCTCTTTGCTAGCATCAAAGGGTTGCCACCTGGACTGATCAACTCGGTACCACCGCGTGAATAATCTCAAAGTGCTGCTAAGAGATTTGAACTCGTTTTCTTACAAAATTTGTATCTGATACAGACTGCTGAGAAGTTACTGGCGAATGTAAAACTGACAGGAGCCGCCAAAGTTAGAGCAGGAAGTTATAGCGGTGGGATGAAACGCCGACTCAGTGTCGCTGTAGCACTCATTGGTGATCCCAAGCTGGTCTTCCTAGATGAACCGGCACGTCTGCTTTACTACGCTTCTCTCTTTATATATATATATATATATATATATATATACGCACACATTAATCATGATGTTTTTTTTTTTTTTTTACATGGATTGTAGACAACTGGCATGGACCCTATCACGAGGAGACATGTGTGGGATATTATACAAGAGTCAAAGAAAGGCCGTGCTATCATACTAACTACACATTCTATGGAGGAAGCTGATATTTTAAGTGATCGAATAGGGATCATGGCTAAGGGCAGGCTCCGCTGCATTGGGACCTCCATCAGGTTAAAATCTCGCTTCGGGACGGGCTTCGTTGCTACTGTTAGCTTCATCGATGGCAAAAAGGGTAACAAAAACAATGTTGGAGAATCGCACGAGCCCCTGAAGAAATTCTTTAAAGAGGTAAATACACACTCAAATGTTTTTTTTTAGCCGTGTCTTAAAGCAAAGAATAAAGTATTTTTGTTTTGCAGCATCTGAAAGTTGAGCCAGCTGAAGAAAACAAGGCTTTCATGACTTTTGTTATCCCACACGACAAAGAGAAACTTCTGACGGTAAGCATGTACAAAGCTCTAATAATCTTGTAGATATTCTTCATCAATCTAACTAATGATTGTGAACAGGCGTTTTTCGAGGAGCTACAAAGCAGAGAATCTGAATTTGGAATCTCGGATATCCAGCTCGGGCTTGCCACTCTTGAAGAGGTGTTTCTCAACATAGCAAGACGGGCAGAACTAGAAAGTGCAACCGCAGAAGGAACCATGGTCACTCTGGAGTTAGAGTCAGGCATTTCACTAGAGGTAAATCCAACAATCGCATACTTGCATATATCTATATTTCCGTTCAAATTTAAAGTTACACAGTCAATGAACAGATACCAGTTGGAGCAAGATTTGTAGGGATCCCTGAGACAGAAAACGCAGAAAACCCAAGTGGAGTAATGGTGGAAGTGTACTGGCAACAAGACGGGTCTGGATCGATGTGCATCTCGGGACACTCGTCGGAGATGCGTGTCCCACAGAATGTTCCAATGACACGTCCACCATCACCAAATGCACTTGGACATAAAGGGCTACGACAAGCTACTCGGGGTATCGTCATCGATTTATGAATCTAAGAGCTTGCAAGAAACCCATATGGTTTCTTAGCTAATATTTTATCAATAAAATTATCTAATAAAATGTAATATGACACGTGACACCGTTAAGAGGTCTCTTATATGGGCTTAGCTAACAATTATTTTAGAGCCGTGAATAAAGATTGGACCCTTCTTTCCAACATATCACAATTTTCCTTCTTTGTTTGTTAAAATGTGACAAAAGTAAGCGCAATGTATTATGTATATAATACTATCGTATAACTATTTAACTAGTACTCTCTCCATTTCCAAAGGATGAATCTTCTACAGATTTCACACATGAATCTTCTGTCTTGTTAAGATTCATGTGTGAAATCTGTAGAAGATTCATCCTTTGGAAATGGAGAGAGTACTAGTTAAATAGTTATACGATAGTATTATATACATAATACATTGCGCTTACTTTTGTCACATTTTAACAAACAAAGAAGGAAAATTGTGATATGTTGGAAAGAAGGGTCCAATCTTTATTCACGGCTCTAAAATAATTGTTAGCTAAGCCCATATAAGAGACCTCTTAACGGTGTCACGTGTCATATTACATTTTATTAGATAATTTTATTGATAAAATATTAGCTAAGAAACCATATGGGTTTCTTGCAAGCTCTTAGATTCATAAATCGATGACGATACCCCGAGTAGCTTGTCGTAGCCCTTTATGTCCAAGTGCATTTGGTGATGGTGGACGTGTCATTGGAACATTCTGTGGGACACGCATCTCCGACGAGTGTCCCGAGATGCACATCGATCCAGACCCGTCTTGTTGCCAGTACACTTCCACCATTACTCCACTTGGGTTTTCTGCGTTTTCTGTCTCAGGGATCCCTACAAATCTTGCTCCAACTGGTATCTGTTCATTGACTGTGTAACTTTAAATTTGAACGGAAATATAGATATATGCAAGTATGCGATTGTTGGATTTACCTCTAGTGAAATGCCTGACTCTAACTCCAGAGTGACCATGGTTCCTTCTGCGGTTGCACTTTCTAGTTCTGCCCGTCTTGCTATGTTGAGAAACACCTCTTCAAGAGTGGCAAGCCCGAGCTGGATATCCGAGATTCCAAATTCAGATTCTCTGCTTTGTAGCTCCTCGAAAAACGCCTGTTCACAATCATTAGTTAGATTGATGAAGAATATCTACAAGATTATTAGAGCTTTGTACATGCTTACCGTCAGAAGTTTCTCTTTGTCGTGTGGGATAACAAAAGTCATGAAAGCCTTGTTTTCTTCAGCTGGCTCAACTTTCAGATGCTGCAAAACAAAAATACTTTATTCTTTGCTTTAAGACACGGCTAAAAAAAAACATTTGAGTGTGTATTTACCTCTTTAAAGAATTTCTTCAGGGGCTCGTGCGATTCTCCAACATTGTTTTTGTTACCCTTTTTGCCATCGATGAAGCTAACAGTAGCAACGAAGCCCGTCCCGAAGCGAGATTTTAACCTGATGGAGGTCCCAATGCAGCGGAGCCTGCCCTTAGCCATGATCCCTATTCGATCACTTAAAATATCAGCTTCCTCCATAGAATGTGTAGTTAGTATGATAGCACGGCCTTTCTTTGACTCTTGTATAATATCCCACACATGTCTCCTCGTGATAGGGTCCATGCCAGTTGTCTACAATCCATGTAAAAAAAAAAAAAAAACATCATGATTAATGTGTGCGTATATATATATATATATATATATATATATAAAGAGAGAAGCGTAGTAAAGCAGACGTGCCGGTTCATCTAGGAAGACCAGCTTGGGATCACCAATGAGTGCTACAGCGACACTGAGTCGGCGTTTCATCCCACCGCTATAACTTCCTGCTCTAACTTTGGCGGCTCCTGTCAGTTTTACATTCGCCAGTAACTTCTCAGCAGTCTGTATCAGATACAAATTTTGTAAGAAAACGAGTTCAAATCTCTTAGCAGCACTTTGAGATTATTCACGCGGTGGTACCGAGTTGATCAGTCCAGGTGGCAACCCTTTGATGCTAGCAAAGAGGTGGAGGTGTTCTTCACTGGATAAAGCATCCCAAAGGATATCAAACTGTTTAATAAAAAACACCAAACAAAATATGTGTAAGAATTAAGAAGACAATGGCAAAAGTGATCAAATATAAAATTTATCTACCTGAGGACAAACTCCTATCATTTTACGAATGTTGGACATGCCAACAGAGCTTCTTACGGACTCTCCATAAATGAGAGCTGTTTGAATCAATCAAAATAGGTCTTAATTATTATTAGAATGGTTAAAAATGCTTTGGAACTAGCTTCTTCTTAACAAAATCCTTACCATCTCCACCAGTAACTGGATTTATGCCAGTTAAACAACTAATACTAGTTGTTTTCCCTGCACCATTGGGTCCGAGAAGACAAAATAACTGGTCTTTGGCAATATTCATCCACAAACCCTGAAACATATATTTCATAAGCTAATTAATAAGCTGAATATATATGTATACGGAATTGTTGTGATATGTTCCATGTCGGAAACCACAAGAGACAATGAGCATTACGATTTGTTGGATAGCTTTGGCATATATAGAACACTTACGACCATGTTAAATATCGCAACAGACTGAACAAGAAATAAAATACCTTCACAGCATGGAAAGGGGACGTTTTGGTGCACTTGCAACATCCAAGCTTTGTGGTTCCGGGATATGTCTTTGCAAGACCATGTATCTGAACTGCAATGTTAGGGTCAACAATCCCATCTATTGCTTGTTGTTTAACCAGTGTCTCCTCTTCAAGCACATCTTGGTCCTCCGGCGTCACATACTCTACGGGTGGAACTGACCCGATACAGCTACAAATGCTCCCTTCTGTATAAAGTTTACGTAGGAACATGTTTGGTTTACATTTCCCAACCAACCAAAAAACAAAATTCGAAAAATGTACCTTCCACTTTGTTGCCCCCTTTGCCAGTCCAATAACCCGGTGTTAAGAAGTAGAAGATGGGTTTTCTTACCCCGGACGCGTTGGGAATAATATTGTCAAAGTAGATGGCCAGAACAAACCAGAAAAGGAATGTCCCGAGGAGCCACTGGAAGATAATGTTCTGGCAAGAAAAACAAGATGAAAAGGTAGATAAAATATCTAGTGGTGGTTTGAGAGAAATGGACAAGTAGTATTTGATTTCATACAACTGAAATCACGCAAGTTGCCATGCCCCCTTCGCATGCTGATCTTTGACTCCAACTAATTCCAGAGCTTCCGGGAGATGAAGTTGCATCAAGAAGAAGCTTAAGGCCAGCAGAAAAAGTGTTGGGTGGAAAGAGTGACCACATGAGCCGGCGAGAGGCAGAGTAGGCACTGGAATAAGGGAATCCAGTAGCTGAAACAATCTGCAGTTACAAAAGTGTATCGAGTAATAAGTCACACGATTTGAGGAAGCAGTTTTGATTCGGGTAGCGCAAGAGAGCCCAAACCTGTGTCATGAAACCAATCAGAAACACAAGAAAACCAACAGTTGTAGCCGAAGATGATTTGCTAATGAAAGATGATAGCACGAATGCTAGGCCAATCTTGCAACACAAGTAATAAGAGAAAACATTAAAAAAAACCACATGTATCTCACTCCCTAGAGGAAGCAGTAGCACAACACGTAAAGGAAATGCGGATGTTTACCATATTAAACTGAAAAAGCAAGAAAAGGAAGAAGACAAGAAAAAAACTGTTCTTCAAGAAAAAATCGAACTGGAACATCATTCCAAAGAGGACTAGGAAGAGTGAGGAGATGAAGGTAAGGATTCCTTCCCATGTGAGCCATGATAACCAATAAGCTGTATCAAAAACTCCCATCATTGTCATTGCCTGACGAAGTTTTAGCTCTTTCTCGGTAACCAGAGAACCGAGTTGGAGAACGAAGCCAAACATGGAGAAAGCAAGAAAGAAGATTGGTCCCATGATTCTGAGTGCAGAGATGGTTTCGCTTTTATTAGCTGGGCGCGCAAATTCCTTAAATCCAAAACCCCAACCAAAACCTGGATCTGAAGTTGAATACAAGTATGTAGAGTCAAAAGCCACCAATTCCAAATTATGGCTCCAAGATATTCAAGAATTGGTACCTCCAATTAAAGACCTCGCTATCTCACGCTCTGCTGAGATTTGAAGAGGAACAAGGAACTTAAACGTTGGATCTTCAGCACGACCACGTTTTTTCTCCGACGTGGAATTCGTCTGAACTCCATAGCTGATTACAGTAGCATTCCTTTCCACAAAATGCAAAGCTCCTGGGACTTGCAAAGGATGTGACATTAACCATGCATCGACCTCCTCGGGGCCTTTGAATGATTGAACCTTGTCGTTAGGAATTGGTCTCCCCGGATTGTTGGCCATGATAGCAGAGACAATGTCAGTGACGCGGCGACTACTGTTCCCACTCCATACGAAATCGTAGCAAGGAAGCTTCACAAAGAACTTATCCTCACAAGGAGGGATCGGCGGCGAAAACAGAAGCGTGGGATCGGTGACATTCTTGTACGCCGTTGAGGATGCCTCGCTCGCCTTCATCGCTTCCTCGATACAAAAGATGACAAAGATGAAGAAGAAGGAAGAGAAGAGCTGAAGACACGTGGCTTTCTTGTTCCGCCATGATAGCAGCAGGTTCTTCCTGAACAAGGCCGTGAACTGCTGGTTGAGAAGCGCCAAGCCTCCTTGCAAAATCATTTTTTACTTTCTTTTTCTGTTATCAAAGCAAAAATAAGCAAATACTAGTAATAAAGAAAATTGTTTACTTATTATTATTATTTTTTTTTAATAGTTTAAAGGACGTGCGGTCTTTTGTTTCCAGTTTTTAAGGGTTTGACTCAATATCTTTCCCACGTTGAGAAATGGGCGAAGTTGGGACCCTCATTTATTTTTGGAAATTTACTGGGACCTCCTCATTTTATTTTTGGCACCTAATTGATGGTAATTAGAACACCATCATTTCATCTATCAAGAAAGAGTAAAGCTCATGTTTAAAACAATTAGCAATTAT